TTTTTTTTTTTATGTATGGGTTTCAGATTTCAAATGATCCAATTATTAATTTTTTTACAGATGATTTGCTTAAAGAAAAAATCACGCATCCTCTGTTGTGGTATCCGGAAGAGTTGCATGTGCAACACCTTTTAAATGCAAAGATAATGGTCCTTTTGAATCTGTAAGATTGCTTTTGTAAAGTTGGCATCATGTGCATCCTTACTTGTCTCTGGTCTAGTGGTGTCGTAAGACTGCATACTGTCTTCATCAGGTCCAAGTGGATTATGAGGGCAAGCTGGTAGATGGTTTCGGGAATGGGTCTGTGAATATTCTAGGGAAACTAAATCAGACTCCTTGGTATCTGGTAAGATAACATTCATTTGCTACCATTTCCACACACTTAAGCCTGTCTTTTTTTTTTAATTGGCTGTTTTTCTCTCTCTCAATCTCTCAATTAGGAAGATGGTACTGGTCGGGTAAATGTAGAGAGAGCTGAATTTGCTCGAGGATTTTATGATACTCTAAAAGAGTATGTTAATGATATGCTGAAGATTTTCAGTGAAGTAGATGAAGCCATGGACAGGCTTTTTTCACCCGATGATCTTTCAGTAGAAGGCTTTAAGGTTCTTAATTTGTTCCTTTCATTGTTTTCTAAATTTTCTCTGTATTTCCCCTACAACACATCTTTCCTTTTGGGTTGAAACCAACATTGTCATGTGTTTTCTTTTAGGTGTTCTATGGGACTGCTCTTAATATTGGTACTTCTTTGACTTTTGTTGGTGAGGTAAAGGAAGCCCTATATGTTCCTTTTTGTTTCTTCTTTGGTCAAGAAACGTGGATCATGTATAAGATTGGCATTTCTGACATTTCGTCCCTCCATGTGTTGTTGTAGGCTGTTAGAGGCGAAGCTAGTAGTCTCATGATTCAAAAACCACCAAAGGAACATCCTTTTATGGTCTTCAAAGGAGAAGGCTCCTTTGAAAAAATGGTTGACAAGATAAAGTCAAATTCAGAGTAAGAACATACTCATCACGTTTCTGTTACTTAAGAGGTTAGGTGATGAATCATGTCTTGTTGAAAGACAATGTTGTGTTATGTTTTTTGTAGGTTTTATATTTTCTACTCCAAGTTTTTCGGAACGATTGTTGTGGCTTTAGCCATCATATACGGTGCGGATTTTATAAGAAGGTGGAAGAAAAAGAAGTTTGGTAACAAGTGATCAAAGGAGGCTAAATCGGACAGCGAAGGAACAAACATCAGTCATATATAGGAGCGGCTTATACTCTGGCAAAAAATCTCAATTCTCATGAGAAGAATCATACAACAATTTTTCTTTTATCGTACAACAATCATACAACACTTTTGATGTCTCAATTCTCATGATACTTTTACTCTTTGGTTAGGCAAATCTTGAGTATTTTAAATCTGATAATATATACAAACAATCTTCTTTAAAGAATTAGTTTACTTTGAGTTTATACGTTTTTTGTTTATTCATGGTTTGTGTATATATTTTCAATTAATTGTAATTAAATTGTATTGGAAGTATACTAAGATAAAATAAATCTTCCTAGAACTAAGCCCAAACTCCAACATAAAAACTGTTGATTTTGCGAGTTTAATAAGATAGATTAGAAAAATTTACAAAAACATGAATTGATTTTGCGAGACACTTTGAGAGAGACTAGGGTTTAATCAAATTTCATCCACAGGGTATATGTCTCGTTTCGTTTTGCTTCGTAATCAATTTTTGTTAGTATATATATATTAGCTCTCTTTCTGAACAAGATTTATATACCTTTCAAGGTTTTATCGTGTCGATTTATTTGTTTCATCATCTCCAACGCTTCAACGATCGTTTATTATGCAATACACTATTACCATGCACTCTTCTTTGTTCAAAAGTTGTCGTGTTCGGTATTATTTTTGTGTTGTATTATGTTTGTATAAGGACAAGATCACGTTCGACTAGGGTTTGGTGTTTTGTTATGGTGATGCAAATCTTGTGGAGGGATTAATATCTTTTGATGTTTTAATTATTTTCAGATGCATGGACTTACTGTATGTCTTTCATGCGGTGCGACATCCATAGCTTGTTATCTCTGGGGGCGTAGAAGTAAAGGGTTTAGTCTCATCCTCAATCTTTGAATGTTTATTACATTTTTATCAAAATCAAAATCAATATGTTGTTGTGATGGTGCAGGAAAGCTAATTATTTTAACAGTATTACCCGAGTAATCGACTTAAAATGGTTAGGTACGTTTTTGTTTAACAAGAGATGAAAAATCTGGTAATTTTTTTCTCATTATGTATTGGCTTTTAGATTACATATGATCCATTTTTTTTTTATTATATTTTATGACAGATGATTTGCTTAAAGAAAAAACCACGAATCTTCTTGTTGTGGTATCCGGAAGAGTTGCTTCTGCCGCACCCTTTAATTGCAATGATAATGGTCCTTTGGATGTTGTTTTCGAGCGAAAGGTAAGATTGCTTTTGTTAAGTGTTGGCATCATGTGCCCTTATAATTCTCCGGTCCGGTGGTGTCATAAAACATATATTGTCTTCAGGTCAAATTGGATTTTGAGAGCAAGTTGGAAGATGGTGTTCCCATAAACAAGGCTATAAATTGTCTGTTACGACAAAATCAGACTCCTTTTTTATCTGGTAAGATAACATTCATTTGCTATAATTTATTGCCCCCCATAACTTATAGCCTGCCTTCTTAACTGGTTGTTC